TTCTTGATTTGCATTGGAGTGCTTTCAAGTCATTGCCAAAAGGAATAGAAGAATTGAAAAAATTGAAGATGCTAGATCTGAGGGAGTGCTCCATTATTAAAAATTTTGATGAAGTGATTGGAAGGTGCTTGCAACTTGAAGAATTATGTGTGTGTGGAGATCAGAGCATTTGTTGCAAAAAATGTTGATTCTCAAGCATCCCTTTTGGAGGGTGCTTTTTCAAAAATTGCGTAGGTATGAATTACAAATGTGGAATATAGAACATGATTCCAATTTCGAGAAAAAGATATCAATCATGTCTATACTTTAGAGAGTTATATATATCCAACATAAGTACAAGTGTCAAGAATTTGATAGGGAAAGCCGAACACATTCATTTGCAAAACCTTCATGGAGGCTGCAAAAGTATCTTCCCAGAATTTGTTGGAGTTGTGGGAGGCATGAATAATCTAATTGAATTATCTCTTTTTCATTGTCACGAGATCGAGTTCTTCATTTGTTTAACACCAACCCCAAGTTTCTCGTTTCCATTTTTCATAGTCGCAAAACATTAATGAAATGGAAATTCAGAAATAAAAATACATAGATAGTATGATTTTGACAATTATACATGTTAACAATCTTTTCATTATTTTCTACGATCTAAAAATTTTATATGCATACGATAGAATCCAATTCACATGAAGTTTAGAAGTCTTCTAAACAATTTTAGATGAAATCTTTTTTTTTTGTATAATACGTAATTTTACAAACCATAGAAATGACAGATTAGAAAAATCCTTCATCTATTGTTTGGCGATACAATCTACTATATTATTTAGACATATAGCAAGCCTTGTCTTCTTTGTTTTTTCGTCTTCTTTTTTTTTTGTGAATGGCTTATAAACAAGTCATGCTTATCTTTTACCTTGTGCTCATTTTCTCCTTTCCTCTTGGTTTTCCTTTAATCAACCGGTCATGTTTAGTATTTTTTTTGCTAAAAAATATAATAGTTGTGATTATTATTGGAAACATGTTAGTTATACATGAAGTACGCTTAGAATTATCATCGGGCATTGATAATATAAACCATTGTTTGTGTATAAGCGAAATTAGATTCTTTGCAAGCTTTCTAGTTTAAAGATATATATTTTGCAAATAATATGGTCTCATTACGACAATTGAGAAGATTATACACTAAGCATTACAAACAAAAAAGGCTGTGACATGAAAATGTTATTGAATAAAAATAATAAATATCAATTTTATGTTTGTAAAAGATTATTAAGAGAATCACGGTTCCTCTTTCTTTGCTTTTGGCATGTCTTTTATGCAGGGATTACTTGGAGTTATAATGAATGTGAAATGAGTAATGAAGTGCTTCGCACTAGAAATTGTGAAGTAATAGTTTATTCCATCATGAGGGTGATAATGATCTTCAAGCAGAGCCACCAGCCTTGAAATTAGAGAGAAAGTTGATTTGGAATATTTTCCAATCCAAAGTATCATAGAGAGAGTGTGATCAATTCCCCAAGTTCTAAGCCTTAGTTATCTTGAAACCATAAGATTGAGTCAGTGTCAAAAGTTGAAATGCGTCTTCCCTGCATTCATTCATACAAGCTTTCCATATTGGCTTGGCTTTCAATAACTGAATGTGAGGAGTTGGGAGAGATTTTTCAAAGAATGAAGAGCTTCAAAAACCATACATGGTTCAAGAGTGTTTTCCAAAACTTAAGAGACATAACTCTGGCTAGATGTGGAAAGCTGAAATGTGTCATTCCCACGATGATTCACAGAAACTTTCCAAATCTGATAAAACTTTCCATAAAAAAATGTGAGAATTTGGAGGAGATTTTTGCAGAGAATGGAGAGCTTCAAAATCCAATGAGGTTTCAAGAGTGTTTTCAAAAGCTTATGGAGTTAGGTGTCCATGAATGCCCAAAGCTAAAATGTATATTTCCTGTAAGAATGGCCAAATATTTCCCAGAATTACGTTTTCTACGCACATCTAGTGATTCTGAACTAAAGGAGATATTTGGAAGTACAAACAGAAACATCCCTACCAATGGAAAGGAAATTTCAGCCCCAAAGTTGGTTGGCATAACACTAGAAAAAATTGCCCAACCTTTTGACATCTGCAAAGGGTTTCATTTTCGACCTGATGAACTTGTCAAGGTTCACATTCAAGATTGCCCTAAAGTTTCTCTCATTTCAAAAGCAGCTCTATACTGGAGAATGAAGGTAATGATAATTAGTTTGACATTTGTTTTTCAATTAATATATTCATTTCTCTCACTTTTTGTCTTTAAAAATCTCACTGGATTCAGGGAGCACGGGTTTTTGTAGTCATGGATGGCAACCCCTTGAGTAGCAATGAAGATCCATCTCTCCCATTGACATATTTTCTAGAGGAGTTTGGAAGCTGTGGAGTGATGGACATTTTCCAAATTGAAGGATCAGTAAATGTTGGTAGTGGGGATGACGACCAACACAAGATTACAGGCTCAAAGGTAGTGAGGTTAGGACCTGAACAGGAGCTATGGAGGGGTCCTATTCCCAAAAACAATGGTGAACTTCCAATATCTTAATCGTTTAGCAGTGAGACGATGTTTGCAAGTTGAAGTATTTGTTGTCTATGGATGCCATCCATGAGAGCCTACCAGACTGGTTTCCTTGATAATAAGTGAGTGTGATGAACTGGAACAAGTTGTTGCAGAAGAGAATGCAGAACAACAGAATATTAATTATGGGTCTAATCCCAAAGCAGCTACAGAATGTTCCCAAATCTGAAACAAATAGAGTTGGAGGGGTGCAAGAAGCTGATGAGATTCTTCCAACACACGGTAACAACTAGGGACAAGATTGTGCTTCCACAACTTTGACAGATCTAAAGACTCTTGGATTTACCAAATCTTGTTGGGTTAAAGGACCAAGTGCACTTCCCTGAGTGTTATCCCTTGGTAATTTTGTGTCCCAAGTCAGGGTTCCCTTAAATGTTCTTACTCTCTTGTTTCCTTGCTTAATTATTTTTATCTCCTCTCAGTTTGTTCTTCCAATAGAATATATATGCACGTGAAACATATATAAAAAGGACTGTTGTCCACCGCTATATATATAATATATATTTTCCTGGCTACAAGGGCATTATGTGAGTAAAGAACTAATTTAGAAACTTTACTCAACTTCCCTAAATATCATAGGATACATGTTTATTGTTAAGTGGCCTGTTCAGAAGCAATGGAAGTAAGAATGTTGGGCGCCTTCCATAACAATATCTTTTATTTGTTTTATCAAACAGTGTTTATAATGTCATTTTGATTATTTATGTAACAGAATATGAACTCATTTTGTTCCACTCTCCTTCAAAATTCATTTAGGCTAAAGTACACACTTATTTACTTATTTTTTTTTAACTTTACATATTATGATTTATTACAATTTTTTAATTTTATAAAGTGTTTTTTTAATCTTTTCCTCTCCACATTGTTATTCATCAACCAGAATTTTCTTGCATTGAACTCTTAAATATTGATAAAATATTTTTAAATATTGATATTTTAAGTTTAATTTTTTGAAATAACAATGCTTGACATAAAAAATAATTATTTGAAATTAATAATGTTAGGATTAGATGATTGAAAAATATTTTATTAAATTAAGGGATTAGCTAAAACCTTGTATAAGGTTAGAAAATCAAATGTATACTTTATTTAACCTTCATTTTATTAGCTCGTTGGTTTGAACTAACCTCAATTTTGTAATTTGACTAGCAGAAAATTTTCACTGTAGTTTTTTTTTTTTTGGCTTTTTTGAAAAACGGATATATTAACATGAAAACACACAGCTTGTATCCAGACTGAGTGTTCTAGTTCATGCTTGAGGGTGGGAGCTAATCTTACTCCTGACAGTTCCGACCTTTTTTTTTCCGGCATCCCAATTCTTTTCTCCACACATTCTTCTTTCACTCTTCACCTATTTAAATTTTTTATCAATTAAGAATATGTGGTTAATTTTATAATATAAATTTTATACTTGACATTTATGATGTGTGATCTCATTATAATTTTTAAAAAACAAACCTAAATAATTTTTGATTTCTCTTGGGCTCCCTTGATTTGGCTCAATCCTAACTTGCCAATATATATATATTGTTTAGTGTGTGTGAGAGGATGTATATAGATATATTGCACCCGTGCAATGTTCATGATTATCTTGGGACAAATTAATTGTCTAAAACTGAATCAATTTGAAGTTTTGAAAATCTAGAATAATATTATGATATGTGCATAATCATTTATCAATATAAAAACTTGGATAAGGAAACACATTGCACTAATATAAAATCATTAGATGTGATAAAAAAAGGTGTAAAATGATAATTTGACTTTTAAACTATATGTTTAGGAATGTTGGGATTCTAAACTTCTTGTTAATGTATTTTTTCTTTTAAACATTTAAAATCATGGCATTTTTCAATTAACTTTAACCGTTAATTGATTAGAAAATTATAAAGAAGAATCTCAAAAATTTCATTAAAAAAAGGATCAAAAGAATCATGGTAAAAGATTCAAAAATTACAAATAAAGAATACCTATATATTGCCTTTTTATGTGATTCTTAATTTTGGTCTTTATTTGTAATTTTTTATATCCTTTTCTATAATATAATTGTATAGTTAACTAACAATTAAATTTAACGACAAGGTGAAATTGTTATTAAATATTTGAGAGAGAAAATGTACTAAAAATGAGTTTAAGAGTGGAATGGGTTATGACTAATTAATTAAATATGATATCTTATGCTTAAGTTCATGTGAATGCAAAAAATTGCATTTGGAAAAAAAATATTATCCCCAATTGAGTTTGATATATATTGTTGGCTAAAGTAATTCTTAGTTCTAGAGTAGCCGTAGCACAAGAAGCGATGAGTGTCAGAGAAAGAGAGAGAGACTTCGGTGCTGTCATCGAAAGAGAGAGATGCACTCGCTCGAGGCAGGAAAAATGTCTGATGAGGGGGAAGTGAATTCTCTAACGATCAAGTGATGTTTCCTCATAAGGAATCGTGGATGCTTGAGGATGAGCTCTCTATGGAGAATGAGGCGATGGAGAGGGGACACTTGACAACAGGTCTAGGCAAGGATACTGATAAACCAAAGAAGTCATCTAAACAAGCATTCATAAATGGAAAGGACGAGGTGGAAGAGGAAGATGATTGGTGGAGCAATGACAAGTGGAGAACAAGAATATCAGTGCAAATGACGTCGCGTGGTCTTAATGTTGTCATCCTAAAAGAAGAGAAGAAGCGACTAGCTACAAAGTGGAGTAATACTCTCATTGTCAAACTGCTCGGGCGTATGGTTCAATTAGAATATATGGAGAGCAAGTTGCCCCAGGTGTGGGGAAGAATGGGAGGAGTGGAGACGATCGACGTGGGTGTTGGGTTTTATGTGGTGCAGTTTAAAAATAAGGATGACTATGAGTTGGCACTAACAGGAGGCCCTTGGTTGATGTTTGACCATTATCTAGCTATCCAACCATGGAAGGAAGACTTTGAACTAGATGAAGAAAAGATTACTAAAATCACTGCTTGGGTACGCATTGCTAAACTCCCTCTGGATTATTATGAGAAGGGTATTCTATGTGTTAGGATCCCAGATAGGGTGAGTCCTTAAGGTTGATATGATGATAATGAAGAGAAAGAAGGGGTGATTTGCTCGTCTCTATATTCAGCTTGACCTAAACTCGACTCTATGCCTAGTGATCTTCATAAACGGAAAGGAGAAGAAGATTTAGTATGAGGGAATTCACCTCATTTGCTTCTTGTGTGACAAATACGGACATGACTCTGAACACTGCCTTGAGAGGAAGCAAAGTCAAGATAATAGGCAGAAGCATGTCAAAGAATAAGGGCTCTCAGCGTCACCACTTGTAGAAGAAGATAACCATACGACAGGTGATGAACAAATTTTTGACGATGCAATAGAGGAGACTACGGACTGTACTGTTTGGTATGATTCATGGATGGTGGTTCAGAGAGGATATAGATTCTAATGCGGTGGTTAGTTCAAAAATCAGGTGCATGAAGCTCGGTGCGATTTCAGGGAACAATCACATCTTAAAGGGCGAAAATCTTACTTTTTAGTTATAAAGAATGAGGTGGTTGATTTAGAGGATTAGATCCCAACTAAAGTGGCAGAGAGATTTCCATTAAGGGAGGTTACTAATTCTAATAAACGCAGATTGAGTCAAAACAGAGTACAAGATTATGGTGCTAGAAGGAAACAACTATATAGGCTAAACAAAGGAATATTAGTGGTCTACTAAAAGAGGTTTCGAACACACCAATATCAAAGGAAGGAGTTTTAATGGGCATGGATATTCTAAGTAAGGCTAAGGATAGATTAGACCTTTTTGCGAAGGACATTATATTTTTACAGTCCATTTTGCCATTTATAGATTTGGACCAAGTAAGGGAGATGGAGGTTTACACAGATCATGAATCTAAGAAATCAAAGGAGGAAGGTTGCATGGAAGTCTAGAGAATTGATATGATGAAGGATGATAACCTTATGGATCCAGGTGTATGCCAATCTATGGCATTCCACATGTGTTTAAACCTACTATCCTCGGTGCAGGGAGATGAGGTGATGGGTGATCAAGAAAAGTGTGACCAACATGAGCTGTGTGTATGAGCTCTCTTCTTCTAAAATGAAGTTTCTTATGGATAGTAAATAAAAGAAAACCAATATTCTTATTTGGAATGTGTAGGGTGTTGGAGGAAAGGAAGTCCCAAGACTATTATTAGAGTTATGTCAGCATTATAAGTTTGATTTCTTAGCTCTTTTAGAATCAGGAAGGATAGCGGAAGAGCACAAACTTTAGCACGAAGGGTGGGATTGACTCAGTTTGACTATGTGGAAGCTAATAGTTACGGTAGAGGAATTTGGTGTTTTTAGGGGGAGAATGTGGATTTTCGGGTCAAAGAGAAGCTTTAATGTTG